TCGTTCGTATTGCCTTCAGGTGCTGGGTTTCTTTTCTGGGTTTCCTTTCTGGGTAATTTGTGTGTGATTAACAAAAAGCCAACTCTTTTTGCAGGTTTTGGATAAAAGCAGTCAGTTTTCAAGTCATCTCTTTTATTGTGGACATTGTTGAACAATGAGCTTAACCAAGAAAGCACCCCAGTCAACTGATCCAAAGCTAAGCGCCACTGTCAAACCAACAACTTTAAACCCTCATGCTGCTGAGTTTGTTCCGTTTACTCTACGATCTCCTTCATCCGGAGGAGGTTCAGCCGCTTTTGATGTCAATTCAAGGCTTTTAGCTTCCTCTAGTTCTGTAGGGAAGGCTGTCCTCGACCGATCAGAATCATCTGCATCACATCACTCAGATGAAGAAGCACGCCAGTTCTGGAGTCACCAACTTCCTGATGATATAACCCCAGACTTCAAGTTAATGACTCAAGATGACAATTCGTATCGACCTGGGAGCCTTTCACTAGCTAGCTTGTCCTTGTATGACGCTAATGAAGCTGAAAACTTTCCTTCTCCTAGTGGAGGATATGGATTTTCAGACCAACCTGGATTAGCTTCACACAACGCTAATGGTAGTAGCTTGTCTGACAAGGTTAGATATCCCATTTCTTCATTCGGGGAAGATCCTCAACGACCCAGTTTCATGCATCTGAGTCCAAAGCCTTGGGACAAGCAAATCATGAACACCGAGCAGCTTCTTGGTAATGGCAGGGAAGGAAACCCTTTCAGTGGGAACTCTCGACATGGGTTCATTAACGACATGATCACTGATAGTCCCAATATAGGGGAAACTGAGGTGAACCCTGTGGAATTTCTTGCTTCTCAGTTCCCTGGTTTTGCTGCTGAAAGTCTAGCAGAAGTGTATTTTGCTAATGGGTGTGATTTGCACTTGACAGTTGAGATGCTTACTCAGCTTGAGGTATTCTCTTAGTCAATATACGGCATAGCTCTTTCATCAATGTTTATTTGCTTGTGATGTTTTCCTGCCTGTTGAATGTGATGTCATAGGCAATATACCTAGCCTCAGCTTTTCCAGATATTTTGTTTCTAGTACTTTTAGACCGTGCACATGTTCTGATTATTTCAAAATGTTGGTCGTTTGACAATTTTCTGCGTGCCTGGCTACGAAACTCATTTTTCTTTTGAGCAAAGGGTTCAATGTAGATGCAAATGAAATTAGAGGGCAGTGTTATGATATAAGACAGCTCTCTCATTTATGCCCTCCTTTGGCAGAGAGAAGGTAGCTGCCCATTGTCATGACAGAGTCGTATCTGTGGCTTAAATCTTAAAGAGGGGTTATGGGGGTGCCAGAGACATTTAATTAACTCGATGTTTCCCTCCTTTTAAGCTGTTATGTCTAATCATGTTGTTTTGCTATTTTACATGTCTTTATTTCTTGAAGAAGAAGATGTGTTTTAATGTCTTATCATTCTAGTGATTTAGTTGTTAACTTCCATGTTTTGCTGTAGCTACAAGTGGATGGTGGCATGAATCAGAACATAAGCCCTAAGACTTTTGCTGCTCCTAATCTAACTCCCATGGATTTTCCTGCCCTTAGCATCTCAAATAGCCAGGGTATTCCTGCCCAGTTTGGTGGGGATGACTTGCAACAAACTGGAAATCATTACCAATCTGCTGAAAAGGATAACATGTTTTTCTTCAAGTCGGGCCCATCAGTTGGTTCAGTTGATTATGTTTCTGCTGTCAGGAAGTTAGCATCCCAGGATTCTGGTATGTGGAAATATGAACGAAATGACTCAGCCGACTCATCTATTGGCTCAAGCAGAAATTCTCATCCTTCAGCTGGTGCTTACAAAAGTGGGCGTGGGAGGAGTGTTTATTCTGATAAGCTGCAAAGTCGCGCCCCAAATCGACCTGCTCCTGCCTGGGTGGAGACCGGGGATGCAGTTGGTAAATTTCCCCTTTTCAACTAACTTTAGCACATACACAGATAACTATATTAATCTTGTTATATATTTGCTTTGAACATCTGTTATCTGATTGGACGTATGTTGTGTTTGCGGNTCTTATTATCATGCGATGAACAGGGAATATGTACTCTGAGTCACGCGAGGAAGCACGCGACTACGCCCGTCTGCGGAATGTATACTTTGAACAGGTATAATATACTTGGTAATGGCATTTTGGCTCATTTGGCCTCTATTTATTTCTTTTATGTAACCAGGAATTTCCATTTGGTGCAAACCTATCTATATGTTAAGAGCATGTAATGGGGCTTAACCTTGAGGGTGATCTCTCTTTTGTTCAGATTGATTTTGAAACGTACTTAGGGTGTATGACGTTAATACATATCAGTGACCGATTCATTAGTATTCAAGTCTTACCTTCAATTTCAGATAGCTTTCCTTGGCAATGGTTTTTCACGAGTTTTATTTCTTCTACGTATCCCTTGTTTTTTTCTTTTTGGTAAACTACGTATCTCTTGTTAAGGTGTCATTAATAATCTCTCTTAATTATGTACGGTTATATTTCTGTGTTGCTTCTGGTTGAGCCTAGGCACGCCAAGCATACCTTGTTGGTAATAAGGCCTTAGCTAAAGAGCTAAGTGTGAAGGGACAGTTGCATAACATGCAGATGAAGGCTGCTCATGGGAAAGCTCAAGAAGCCATATACCGTCAGAGGTTTGTCTGCTGATACATAAACAAAAAGGAATAGAGAATCTTGTTTCTGAGTTGTCTCTGTTTTAATAATCTGCATATGATCAAAATAACACAGGAACCCGGTGGGTAGAGGGAGTGAGAGAATGATAGACCTGCATGGGTTACACGTGAGTGAAGCAGTTCAGGTGTTGAAGCACGAACTAAGCGTGTTGAGGAGCACAGCTCGAGCAGCACAAGAGAGGCTTCAGGTTTACATATGTGTAGGAACTGGGCATCACACAAGAGGTTCCCGGACTCCGGCTAGACTCCCAGTTGCCATACAGCGTTACCTACTCGAAGAAGAAGGCCTTGACTATTCTGAGCCTCAGGCCGGTCTCCTTAGAGTCATCATATACTGACAAACAAAAGCCAGATCTACTATATACGCTATTCATTTGTTGTATCTGATCTGTACATGGGAAGAGAGACAGTAGCTG